TAGAATTCCTAGATGGACAGGTTAGTTTGGGTTAGGTAGTCTGGCAGTCTGCATTTTCTGTCTAAAAGAAAGAAGCTATTCGTGCTAAAAAAATTTGAATCAAAAACAATAAAATTAATTTAAAAAATCCGAAATTAAGGTTTTCAAAAAATGAACATGAACCGTAAACTCTGAATTTTATTTTTTCATAAATTGTCAATTTTCCTGGAAGGGCAGGGCAGAAAGTATATATGTTCAGATTGCGATAACATATTTTGGGGCTTAAAACTTAACAAATAACAAACAAATAATTAGCTGATCAGTGATCATCTGTGGAACGCTGGCTAGAACTGACAATAATGTGATGCGTGCGACTTCGAAGCCCTGTGACCGGGATACGGCTAATGTCTTGTCTTGAGACACTGGGAGTAGTATTTTACTATAAATCGCGTGCACTAACGGGGGTTTTTGCCTCTGGAGAGCATTCAGAGGGCGCGAGGGTGCGAACTCTACGCTTAATCTTATGTTACTGCCAAATATGCGCGTCGACTAGCTCTGCTGGAGCAGGTCGCAAAAATCTAGAAAACAATGTGGCGGCTGACCAATCACAGCAGCGAAATAGCTCCACTGTCTCATAAGGTAATGAAGAAACCTGTAATTTTACCGGTTCAAAGAGTTGTTGTTGCCGGTTTTACATGCATCTATTTTTAGAATATTATTTTTATGGTAAATAATAGAGAGGAAAATTATATTAAATTAGAAATGACAAAATTTAAACTTGTTGTAGGTTATTTCCGCAACAATAATTAAATAAAATTAGAAATAAATCAAATGTTATTGAGCCTTTTCATTTTTTTAATCAACATCTGTAAGTAGTTGCTCCTACTGATTTCTGTTTATCTTCAAGACGTTTTTTTGAAAATCATCGACAGGCTTTTTTTAGACTGTTCAGATGGCCGGAGAAAGATAAAAACTATGTTCGTTCATCCGGCCGGCCTGACTCTGGGCCTGACGTACTCAAAGGCAAGTCTGGACGTGTGTATGGCACGGTCGACTGCCGGAACGGAGCCAGAACACCGGGCTGTCAGTTCAGATAGTTCACTAGTGAGTAGTGAGTATTTAGTGAGTAGTGAGCTTGTTACCCATATCGCGAAGAATAGAAAACAGGTGGAGGAATTTATCGCGATTTATCATAGCGAGTCGTGGAAAGTCAAATCGAAAAACTTCAACGACCGTGGCAAGAAACAAGCAACGTAGGTATTTGGAATTGCTAGAAAGATATGTAGATCCTTCTTGTACGAAGCCTACTTTTCTCAAAAAAATTGATACTACTAAACCAAAAGGTGCTAATAACGCGTCGTCGTCAGTAGGGGCCATAATGATTGAGACTGTGGAAAATTTCAGATTCGCCTGAACATTTGGAGGGTCATCAGTCCATCCGGCGACCGGCATTCAGGCGAACTACTGTGTAGCCGGCTTGAGTAACAAAAAAAATTGATAATGTCTTAATTATATTTGATTGATTCGCAACTACATTTGATATAAGGTACCTGACCCAAATAAGGCCATGTACCTAATAAGGCCAATGCCCCTTATTGCTTAATATTGAATCCCATATTCAAAAATTGAAATATTATTGAAAAAGATATCTATAATGCAAATCAAAAATTATTGCGAGGATTCCTAGCAATTCGTTATATGTCGAAAAATGGCTAACCACAGATTTCATATGTCACGTTATAACTTTGAGGCTGGAACTTAATTAGTTTATACACATGTTCATAAAGGGAATGGAGCGAATGTAATTTTTACATGGACCTTTATGTATTGAGAAAGCTATACAGAGTAAGTACAGAATAATATCTTTGCTAGATTTCTAGTTACAGAATTTTTTGTATTAATGTAACATGTTCCTAATAAGGCCACATGAAAAATTTTCAATTGGCCTCACATCACAGTGTTTTTTTAAAAGAATGTGTCATATTATTGCTTAAGTGATGTGTTCTAGAGCGCCTGAAGTCTAACCAAGCAAGAAATGCTGCGGTTCATTTGTCCTAGTTGTATGTAGACCTATTCGGATTACCATCCCTGGACTTAAAATTATTGTTTTTTTCAGAATGCAGCAAACGTTAAAGTTCTATTTTGAGAACTTTTTGTCGAAAAATTATATTTTTATAAATGATTCTATTTATTTTATACATTTTTTTATTGTTGGCCTTATTAGGAGCATAGTGATCCGAATAAGGCCAATGGTAAGGGTCTTTGTTTTACGCAAAAACCACCACTTATATGTTAAAAGAAATAAATTGGAGTTGATATTCAAGTAATAGAAGCGAAACACTTCACATATAGGTTCGTGATTCTTGTTGGGGTTGGTGGATAGTGTTCGGAAAAAATAAAACTTCTTAACATGGCCTTATTTGGGACAGCTACCTTATTCCTAATTTCATTTGATTAACCCCAATTGCATATTATGATATATTCGCAATTACACTTAACTTTTCTCAATTACGTTTGATATAATCGCAATTATATTCAAGTTTTCCCAATTAAGTACATTTGATATAGTCGCAATATCACTTGACTATTTGTATTCGCAAAATCAATCGATGAATTCGCAATATAAATTGCTAAATTCGCAATTACCCATGGAAAAGCTGTAGTTCGTAAGTTCAGGGACGTTTCAATTAGTTTTTTCGAGAAAAATCCTCGAAGGATTGGATTGAAATATGCAACTGTATAGAAAAAAGTTTGAGACTGTGTTAATAGTAATTTTATTTGTTTCCCAATTTTTTAGAAAAACATAAAGAAAATTCAAGAGCCCCGAATCAACAAAAAATTAGAAGAAAAATAAAATTATTAAAAATAGATTGAAAAATTAAAGAAAAAAATGATCATTAGGAAAAGACGAATAAGGTGAAAAATTTAAAAAAAAAAACGATGGGAAAAGGAGAAAAATAATAATAAAAAAATTACAAAAAGTTTTTATTTTCTACTTTACTATTAAAGATCCATAATACCTAGGAAACGAAATACGTTAACACACCTATAACAACCTGAACCATAACGCCCGCTTTTGCGGGCGTTATGATCTATAACGCCCGCTTATAATACCTTAAGGTGTTTTTGTTGTTGTTGTTCTATTAATTTGCACTTTACCCTAGGCAGCCACTAAATGTCTGACCGAATAGTTATTTATGTATCAAGGGTACTAAGTAGATGATTATGCCCTGAAGGCGACAGTCTTACAAAGCCGAGGGCCTCTTGCCCGAGGTTTCGTAAGTCGCCCGAGGGTATATATATCTATTAGTACCCGTGGTGCATACAAATTTTTATGTCATACCAGTTGGTTGTGAATAATAAATACCTGGGAAAAAAGTGTCACTTTGCAAATTGTCATCAGTGTTCAAAATCATCATTTTTTGACAAAAATAATATGTTTATAAGCTTAAATTTATATTTTGTTAATAAAGAATAAGTTAATTGAAAACTTTTTTTGCGTCTTTATGCCCGCGCGGGCCATAATGTGTACTTTATGCCCGCACGGGGGGACCCCTTGGTACATAAATAGCTATTTGATTTTTCATTAGCAGGTATTAGAGATTTAAATTTGTTGTATTTCATATTAGGTTCACTTCTAAGGTAAGTAAATACCTACAAATTAGTTTTAAGGAGTTGGTGAACTGCAATAAATTGAATTTCCCTTGAAAAATAAAAAGTTGGCTAACTTTTGAATTAAATTTTTGAATAATGTAAAACCCGAGGTAAAACCTCAGTTGGATATTATTTACCAGAATTTCTTAATTCAGGGTAAGTTAAATGGAAAAATTTCTGGCAGATACCCTCTAGAGTCTAGATAATAAAAGTATGTAGGTAAGGTATATAAGGCATGTATTATAATTTTTTTAAAAATAATGTTCTCCTTCAAAATTAAAAAAAACCCAACGCCAACGATTTCTACCCTATTAAATTCCATTAATTAAAAATATAAAAAAATTCGTTCCATCACTAAAACAACCGGACATCTCTCCCATTGCTCTTTGTGATTAATTAAAAAAACAGGGGCGCAAAACTTGCGCACATTGATTGGCCAGGAACTGCAGTTAAAATGGTTAAAGAACAAAGGCGAATTTTTACAAAACCATTTTGCCCATACTATTATTGATTCGCGGACAAAGGAATCTTTTTAAACAGTTTCGAAATAATGTTCTTGAAGAATTCGAGAGTCAAGAAATCATATGTAAAATAAAAAGAACCCTCTTTTGAATTTTGATCCTCTTAGCATAGAGGTAAATGAATTAGATTTTTGATTCTTGTTTTAGGGTGTAGGTACCTATACCAATAAAAAAATACCCTCTGAAAATATCAAAATTGATTTTTATAAAAGTTTCTTTGTGAAGTAGGTACACATAGGTATCGAGAACAAAGAACTTCCATATAAAAATATATTTTTCCCTCGAATTATTATGAGGTAATTCTCTATAATAATGTATGCAAATGTTATATAATAATAAGTTTAAAGATCAAAATGCAGTAATTAAATTATTTGAAAAAAAAAAGTAGCAATACATAAAGTATAACAAGTGGTTTAAAAAAGCGATCATTGATAAAAGGAGTGGCAAACCCACTAGAAACTTGGCAACACAGCACATCACATCGTCAATAAGGACACGTTGCAGGCATCATTATGTCTACGTTATTTTTCCTTTTTATTGCATTTTTCATCAATTTAACGTTAATGCAATTTAATAAAAATTGATTAGTATGATTCATATAAGGTTCAAGTACAATATTTCGAGTTATTTGCTAGGAAAAAATAAATAGAAAGTATAAAAAACCCAGCTAGAAATTCAAGTGTCAGATGCGGTCCAATCAGATCGAAGCACATGCTACGTCACATGCCAGTGAGTGGCATCACCCGGGCAATGCTCTTGTTTGGGATAAAGGCAGGCAGAGAAAACACCCTTTTAACACATTTCATTGTTCTCTTATTTCGCTTAAAATTTTCTCAAAATACTTACCGAATAATTGAAATATGTATTGAATAGTGGGAGGAGTCACTTATATGACTACTGTTAAGAACTGTCAGGTCACTTTCACTTGTTCAAAGTCAAAGCCACCTGGAAACTTTAATGGGCAGGGCAATTTTTCCCCAAAAAAACAAAAATTTTCTCTCTAAAAAAAATCGATGTCACGTGCTTAAGCTAGCTGTATCGACCAATGAATGAATGGGACACGGATAAATTACAAGTCGATTCACGAGTACCGTTATTTTTTTAAGCAAAATCGCGTCAGCTGCGAGACTATAATCTTTTTGTTGTTCTTTTTTTTTCTCGCTCGGCCGCTGCACACGATTCCGCTCGACGACGTTATTTTCCGCTAGTGGAGACCCATGGGAAAATGAAAAACTCTAGGTCGAGCCCCCGGATTGGTATTTTCACCGCGGAAATCGGGCTTGGACTGAGTTTTGTGTGAAGTGAATCAACGATCAACATTTGGCGTGGCTCAGGCGCAAAACGGCGCGGGGGGGGAGGACGGGTTACTACCGCGTGTCCAGGTCTGGTGGTGCGCTATTACTGTTGCGCCTGGTCTATAATAGACACGACGTTGCCAGATCGTGCAGAAAGTAGTTTCGATTGACCAACTCAAGAACCTTGACAAATGAATGATGCATTTCGAGAGCAATTGGTTGACAAATGACGTTTAATTCATTGTTTATCTGTCAACTGAAACCGAGTTGTCAAACGTATAAAAACCTCTTGTATTCTGAAACTTCTGGTTGAACCGGAAATAAGCTGTTTAGATAAACGATAAACCTATTGAACTTGATATCATTGAAATCAGCAAAATCAGAGCTTTTCAATAAGTTATTATTAATATACAGGGTGTCTCATTTGAAAAAATGCATGTTTGGTTTACAGGGACGCAAGTATGGGGGGGAGGACGTCCCCCCCCCCAACCAGTTTACCCAGTTGGGATAGTTGAGATATCGGGTACAAGTTGGAAGAATCGGTACACTTGAAAACATAAAGATTCACGGGGAAAATGAGAAAATATTTCAAAAAATGATAAAAAAAATGAAAAACAGCTTGAAAAAAAACCCTAGTTGGCAAGGGCGTAGCCACGGGGGGTTTTTGGGGGTGAAAAAAAGTATAATTAGAAACCACTCCTGGAAATTATTAGAAATTAAAAATTATAATACAAATACCTACTAACAATCTCAAAAAAATACATGCTTTTGACATTTATTTTTTTAGTAAACATGTTGATTTTACCAGTAGCGTTCCCAAAGGGGACCGAGGGGTCCGTGCGTCCCCCAAATTGACTCATATACAACGAATTTTCCTACCTGAAATGTGAAGTCATGAAGGACATAATATGTATTGCGACATTACTAAAAATTCTAGAAATTTACCTTACGAAATCTATGTTTTAGCATATACCTATCTACTTTTTGACTTTCAAAATTTTATTCTTTTCATATAAAGCATTTAACCTTGAAATTCTACTAAATTTTCGCCTGCGGCGCAATTTTTTTCTGACACCCCTATGGTCATGTAATGTTTCTTAATTTCAATAGCAAAAAACCCTCGTTGTCTGAATTTTCTGGCTACGCGCCTGCTAGTTGGGATTTTTAGGAAAGACTAGTTGGGAGATTATACCTACGCCACCCCCCCAATAAAAAGTCTTCGGGACGTCCCTGTTGGTTTATAATTTAAAAACTATTGCTTCTAGGGAAAAACTGACTACGCCACTGGAATATATACTTAGAAAGATCTATAAGAACCCATTCTCTCCTTTATGATCACTTGAAAGAGAGCCAAGATACAAGGAGGGTTGTCGTAAAATGTAATAGCAACCGAGTTATCCCTTATGTAGGTACAACCGAAATGGTACACCCTATACAACATTCAAATTCATTTTCATGGATAGGTATAACAACCATTGATAATAGAATGTTTGAATGTTAATTTTTACTCTTTTACAAAACTAAGCTGGAGGTTTTTTCCTCCTTCTTCAGAGCTATAATAGAAATTATATAAACGTACAGGGAGCGTAAACCTGAACCAAATTGATCTATATTTACAGGGTGTTACAAATTCGTAAGTAAATATGGGGATCACGATAACCATAAAGGAATACATGGTTGGTTAATTAATGGAGCAAAGTTACGCAATTTCTTGCTCTTCAGAATCCCGAATACTTCCGGAGATATTCGGAAAAGCAAGATCGGTTTTATTTTTTCCTGAACCTATTTGAAGAGTTTAAAATAAATGACACTTCAACACTGGCACTTTTTCTCCTTTACAATATGGCATTATCAAAATTTGAAATCCGACGTTTCGTCTTTGGGACCCTCATGAATTGCAAGACTTTGATACGTTCATGAAATTTTTGGAGAGAAGTCTTTAGAGACTGTAACGCCGTCAGTAAGAAAAACCAATATCGAACACGACAATAGCAACTAGTGCTCGTTTTGCAAAAAACGACATCATGTCATCAACCAGTATTCCAGCTTCCTAGCTTTACCGATAGCAGAAAGAAACCAGTTCGTGGGATGGGTTCAAAGTTTCTAAGATGACCGCTAGAGGCGCAATTACGATGACATAACTAAAAATTCAAATTTTCTCAAGAAATCGTTATATTATAAGATATACTGTTTTAACAACAGAAATCAAAAGTTAATTAATTTTTGCGCCAGTTAATTGTTTTAAAAACTGCTGTATCTTCCATAGGGTCAGTGTGCTAGTTTTCGACCAGTTAACTGAAACTTCCACTTCAAAACACGATAAAAATATGTCTAGTTAAAATATATTAATAAAACTAAGATTTTCTAAAAGTCTGAAGATTTGCGAATTTATATTTTATATATGTTTTTAATTTTTGTTTCATGAAATGTGTAATTTTAATAAAAATATGAAAAAAGTGCCATTTAGCTAGTTCTCGACCATTGGTCGCAATTTCCGACCATTTTTGGGTTGGTTTTCGACCACCTTTTAATAAGCGTAAAAAGGGCAGTTTCTTATACAAAAAAAATGGGAACATAAGTTTACGAGAATAAACGGATTAATATCTTCGAAAAAACTTATGGGATTAAAAAAACAATAATAAATTCTCTTTTAATAAGGTACTACCTAGTACCTATACATATAGACAAGTGCCTAAAACGTAAAAAAAAATATATAAAAACAAAACAACTCAAAAGATAAAAATAAATAAATAAAAATCCATTACAAAAGGGAAGTTCTTATTAAAACTAAAATTGGAATATTTACAAATATGGAACTGCTAAAACTAGAAAGTTTCAGGCTAAGTACCATCGTCATCAAAAGTAACTGGAACAGCATCACCTCAGCTCTTGTCCTATTATATGAATTTTATTGTCAAATATTTGTCAAACTATGAATTAAATGCATTGAAATGAATGACAGTAGAATTAGTCCAGGAGATTATTATGCATCATTTGTGTCCCAGATACTTTTAATGACGATGGTACCTACATACCCCTATTTTAAATTAACTAAAAATATGAAATGTTTAGATTTGATGAAATTAAATTAGCAGTACTGACTACATTTATAATCTTTGAACGGCGGCAATTACATAGGGAGTATCAATAAATTCGGTACACTTTTTGTGAAACTATTTTTCACAAAAGTCACAGCCGATGTTTTTCTTATCTCCATCCTCTGTGTCACTATAAAGATCTTCTTGGCATAATGAAGAGGATACTTTAGATTTGGAAGTAAGTTTTTGAGTTTTTTTTTTTTTTTTTTCTTTTTGAGAGTTTTCTGAACTTTTTTTTAAAATTATTTTCTTTTGTCATTTTCCATTTTTCTTTTTTTCGGGCTACTTACTTTTTTTATGGATTTCGTCTTTTTCTTTTTATTATAGTAGGTAATTTCTCCATTTTTCAGAAGAAATTGCACTAGGGGTTTTCTCTCCTTTAGGTAAGTGAAGTTAAAAAAAATTATGTGGACGAAAACTAGATGAGAAGAAATTATTTAAATAAAATCATGTTGGTTCGGCGTCCAGAGTTTCTCATAAGAAAAACATGCTGGTCGAAAATCAGATCCATATTATTTAGATGTTCGACCACTTGAAACTACAGTGGACGAGAAATAGACTATAATAAGCTAGTTTCTCGACCACATAATTTTGCTAAATCTATATCCAATTTTCATCGCAGTATTTAAAGGAAAAGTGGTGGTCGTAAACTAAAAAACAAAAATTATATTCAATATTCAACTAACAAATAAAAATAGAAAGTTATCACGACTTTTCTAAATAGTTTTATATGAATTGAAAATGGACCACTTGAAACTCAGTTCTCGACCACCCCGGTCGTAAACTAAATTCTGATATATTTTGTATATTAGTTCCCGACCAACAAAAATTTTATGTAAAAAATTGTTTCAGACTATATTTTATCCGTAAATTCGATAGAAAAATTAACCTACTATAACACAAAATCAATTAGTGAAAAGTCTTACATTCAAGAAGAACATTATTTACTATTTTCTACATCAAACACACATACACTTTTTATAGACACAACGCGTAAACAACAACCCCCTTGTCAGCGACTATTTAAATGAATTTTGAAGGCGAAACCGTTTACCAACTATCAAATCTCAATGGTATTTTAGGTTGGGAAAACTGTCTGGCAGCCATTTCAGCATTTATTGGACAAAAACGAGTGCATATTTACTATTTATTCCTGATTAAAGGTGAATGTGGTCGAGAACTAGTAGTGGTCGGCAAACTAGCGCAGTCACCCTACCCCTTATCCAAACTCATTCAATTTGGGTTCATTTGAAAGAGAATTTCATTGTTATTAAGAACACCACTTGGTTTGGAGTCGATAGCTCCCACAGCGTCTTCTAGAGGGCGCTGTTTAACCAAGATCCAGTTTTTTTTCTAATTTCCTTGAAAAATCCAAATGACATGACATTATTTTTTTATTGCTGTGCTTAAAGAGCAAGAAAATATCTACATTTTGGCGCAAACAGCAATCCAATATCTGCATTCATTTTGAAGTTATGTAAGATCTATGGTTTCCATGTACCATCGTCACCAAAAGTATCTGGGACACAAATAATGCATAATAATCTCCTGGACTAATTCTACTGTCACTCATTTCAATGCATTTATAGTTTGGCAAGTGGTAACTTGGTAGAGACGAAAGGGGGAAGAAAAGTGGGGCGTGACCTAAGAATATTCACTGACACCTCAACTGACACCGCCTGATGACAACCATGTCGTTGGGTTCAGTGGCACCGAAAACGACAAGGAAATAAACCAAAAAATTATTAGGAAAAAAATTCTTGAGTTTCACGAATAACCACGCCACTGGTGCTGTCGTTCAGGCTCTAACCAATAGAATCATGCCTCTGAATAATCACGCCTCTCCACTTCCTTCATTTCGTAATGTTGCCGGATTTTTTCCTATTTCAAAATACTACACGGCCCATATTGCAAAAAAAAATATGT